GGCTCAATCCCAGGACCCTGGGGTCATGACCTGAGCTGAAGGCAGACGCTTAACTGACTGAGCCACCCAGGCGCCCTTCCTTTTTTTTTTTTTTTACAATACTACATATACCTTGTATTAATTAAAAGTAGTTAATTTTTTTCAAATGCTTGCAAAAGAAGAACACAGTCAATTTGATACTAATGATTTCTTTACCAACCAGAAGGTTCAGAGCCAAATTCGAGACTCACCCATGGCTACATTGCTGGCCCTTACCACAGATATATTCACTTTTTAAGGTTCTGACCAAACTTCTATTTTATCATTATTCTTACAGTTAGCTTCCTTGGATTGTTGGTGGAATGTGGCAGAATACACATTAGTATGTAGTAGAAAAAAATGTCCCTGAAGCGAAAAAAGACTTGGCTCTTCAAAGCAAAGGGCCCCGTGATGCCAAGTAACAGTATTACACCAAAACTCCTTGGTATTTGATACAACCTAATGAACCTTCTGCATTCCAAAGATAAAAGAAAATATCCTATAATATTCTAGACAGAAGACAAGAAAAGGGGTGGAGGGACCAGATTTCTACACAGAAGATAAAGGAAAAAGAACCATGTCAATGGAGGACTTTTTAAAAACGACACTCAGTGCTCAGTCACTACAGCCAAGTGTGAAGGAAAAAAAAATTTGATGCCAGAATTCTAGATCCATAATTCTCACCAGAGAGGTAAAAGAATTGATTTTATTTATTATCTATTTTTAAAATGTATTTTTAAAGGTTTTCAATATTTGACAGAGAGAGAAAGAGAACAGAAGCACAGGGAGAGGCAGAGGCAGAGGGAGAAGCAGGCTCTCCGCCGAGCAGGGAGCCCGATGCGGGGCTCGATCCCAGGACCCTGGGATCATGACCTGAGCTGAAGGGCAGACGCTAAACCGTCTGAGCCACCCAGGCATCCTAAAAGAATTGATTGTAGACATGTACAAATAGAGCACAAACGAACCTTTCTGAAAATACTATTCAAGAAAACACTCTAGTCAAAACAAAGGGGAAAATCTGAAGACAAAGCTCATGAATGGAAACACAGGATTGAGCTGCCCAGAAAGCCTGTGTCCTGCCATCAAGAGAAATAAATGCTGGTTAAGTAGCAAAACTCAAAGGAGACAGCCACCCTCTGGTGCTAGAATCAAAGACAAAACAGAATAAAAGCAAACAAAGACAAAAAAAACCCACCGAAAACCCAGAATGACAATAACAACAACAACAAAAAACAAAGACAAAGCAGAACAGCAAATGAGAGCTTATGGATCCAGCAACCCAGAGCAGTTTTAGAGATTGAGAGACATATCCTAGCAGCCAGGGTCTGGAACATATTATTTTGAGTATTTTCACACAAAAGATTTAGGAGAATGCCATGTTGAATATCTGCGAACCTTCTGCATAAATTCTATTTATCACCATGTTGCTACTCCTGCTTTCTCGCTCTCGTGTAGTATATAAATGCACACATGTCCGCGTTTTCTTTTTAGCTGAACCATAGGTAGTAAGTTGCAGACCAAAAAAGTCAAATAAAAACCCAAGCGGGAACAATGAGGGATGTACTGTAGGGATGTACTGTAGGGATAGAAGGTCTGTTCAAACCACCAAGGGAAGATAATGTAAGAAAATAATCAGTCCAAAAAAAGGAATGGGAAGTCCTCAGATAGGGAGAAAAACCATGAGAGACTCCTAGCTATAGGAAACAAACTGAGGGTTGCTGGAGGGGAGAAGGGTGGGGGGACGGGGTAATTGGGTGATGGGCAGTAAGGAGGGCACGTGATGTGATGAGCACTGAGTGTTATATGTAACTGATGAAATACTACATCTGAAACTAATGATGTACTATATGTTTCCTAATTGAATTTTTTTTTTTTTAAAGATTTTATTTATTTGACAGAGAGAGACACAGCGAGAGCAGGAACACAAGCAGGGGGAGTGCGAGAGGGAGAAGCAAGCTTCCCGCCGAGCAGGGAGCCTGACGTGGGGCTCGATCCCAGGACCCTGGGATCATGACCTGAGCCGAAGGCAGACGCTTAACGACTGAGCCACCCAGGCGCCCCTGCCTAATTGAATTTAAATAAAAAAAAATTTTTAAAAAGGAAAATAATCAGTCCGAAAAACAGGGGAAGATATGACTCACAAGACTTTATGCGTTATATACGGTGTCACATTTTCTGCATTCACATTACAAAGGACATCGGAGAGAAGTGGGCCCTTCTTGGGAGAATTCAACTCTCCCTCTGAACCTGCCGTATCAAGGACTCAGAAAGGTAGAGAGAGAGGATATGCCCTTCCCAGCCTTCCCCAGGCCCTGGTCAACGTCTTCTGATCAGCAGAAGCCAGGCAGTGAGAAAATGCTCTGTCCACTTCCCAATCACTGTCACTCACCTACACACGGGCCTTGAGAAACTCCATTTTCCACCATCCAGGGGTCTTCCCCTTGCTGTAGCTGGAAGATGACCTTTGGTTTGGAAAACAGGATTCCTGTTCGTGAGCAAGAAGAAGAGAATGAGTCCGCTGTGCAGACATGAGAGGGGCTTAAGTTAGGCTCCTAGGGGATGGCCGGAGGTGGTCTCAGGAAGAAAGTCAGGGCGCTGGTTGGGCACGCCTCCAAACTGGAACCTCTCATGAGACCCAGAGGGACAGAGTCTGGGGACAAAGAACAGCAAAAGCACACAAAGGCTGCCCAACACCGACTCTACCAACCCGAGGCCTTTCTTGGCAGGGGCCGGGGGGAGCAACTGCCACCCTGTGAGCCCCCCTGCGGGTCCTCCTCGGAGAGGGCCCCACGATGCTCCCCCGACAGACTCTCCATCACGAGGAAAGGTCCTTACCCAGCGAGACGAGGGTGCCGTAGTTCTCCAGCATCACCTCCCGGTACAGGGTCCTCTGCGCGGAGTCCAGGCGCAGCCACTCGTCCTGGCTGAAGAACACAGCCACGTCCCTGAATGTCACAGACTCCTGCAATGGGAAACCCACTCCTGCTCACCTGGGACCATCCCCTTGGGGGATGAGCAGCCAGCCTGTCGCCGCGCAAGGTTGCAAGCATCTCTAGGCGAGTCTCTGTCCTTTCCAAATGTACCTACAGTTGTTCCCACTTCCGCAGGGAGTTATGTTCTAAGACCCCTCCCCCAGAGGATGCCTAAAACTTGGGGAGTACCATACCCTATATATACTGGTTTTTCCTATAAATACAATCCTATGATAAAGTTTAATTTATAAATCAGGCACAGTAAGAAATTAACAACTAATAATAAAACAATTATAACAATATACTATAGCAAAATTATGTGAATGTGGTCTCTCCCTCTCAAAACATCTTACTGTGCTGTTCTTACCCTTCTTCTGCTTGTAATATTGTCACAGCTAGACCCCAAGACCTGACCTTTACTGCCCACCTGCTTGTACTCACTGACCTTTGTCCCACATTTTTCCTTAAGCTCTTCTTTCCAGCTTATCTCTTAACTCAGGCAAATGGAAAGTGAAACTGCCCCTCCAGAATATTCCACCCCCTAGTTAACAACTGTCAATAAAAGATAGCAACTCAAACCCCAGGGCACAAAGCTCCCGCTCGCGCTCTCTCTCTCTCTCTCTCTTTCTCTCAAGCTCATCTGCTCTCCTATCTTGAGAGTATAATTTTTGCTTTAATAAACTTCCCTGCTGTGTCACCATCTGCTGTGTTGTGTGTCCATCCTTGAATTCTTTCTTGAGACAAGACCAAGAACCTTCAGCAACTCCTTCAGGACAGGCTTGGTCGAGGCCCCAGGGCCTCCCCAGTTCACCCGGCAACACTGAAACCCTGCGTTGTTCAAGAATCAACTAGACTACAAGTACCTCGGATCACACTTGCTGATTCTGAGGTCTTCTTTCTTGGATCTTCCTAGACAATCACCTGGACTCCTATCAGGTACCACTCTAGTTGATTGGTCCTCAATTCCTTGAGAGTAAGGACCAGACATTTTCTCTTTGAATTCCTAATGTTACAGAGAGAATTACCTGATTCCCCCAAGTTTCCAACCTTCACAGGGAAAAAAACATACCTAGATCCCTCACAGAGCTCTGGGTGTGGCTTTGGCACAAGGCTGGGGAGGGGGAACACTGAACTCCTAATCAACAAGTACTTAGCTGTTAGGTGGGGAATTCCCAATGAGACCGGCCCCAAGCACTAGAGAAACAGCTTGATGTGGTCCATACATACAATGGATTATTACTCGGCCATCAGAAAGGATGAATACCACCATTTGCATCAACATGGATGGAACTGGAGGGGACTGTGCTAAGTGAACCCTAATCCAGGACCTAATCCAGAACCTAATCCAGAACTACTCGGATTTCTTCACATGCTTGAAGAAATGAGCTAGAATCACAACTAATGAATCCTTGAATACTACATCAAAAACTAATGAACATAATAAAAAATATTAAAAAAGAGAGAGAGAGAGAAGCAGCTTCTTTCCTGAGTTACCCTACCAGGCCCTCAGGTCCCTCCATGGGCTTCACTGCCTCGTAAAGCTCAACAATGGCTTCAGTGTGTTCACATCTCTGAACCAGGTAGGCAGGTGAAGAAAGAAGCCCTCACTCACCTGAGCCTGGGCTGGCAGCAACCTTGTGGCCATTTCTCCCTCCTGGAGAAGGCACCTGAAATGGAGAAAGAAACTGTGAGCAGTCTGTCTGTCCATCCTGTCTGTACTCCCACCCTCATGAGGCCTGACTAAATTAGAGAGCCCCACACACTGAGCAGCCTGCAGATGGAAGCCAGAGGGAAACTGGGAGCCCAGGCATCCCTGAGTTAGAGGGTCCGTGGGCATGGCCACCCAAACCAGGAGTGGGCAGCAAGCATACTTCCAGTCACCGGCCGGCTACCTTTCAGCCAGTGGTTTCTGAATAAAGATAAATCAGACTAAGGAATTAGAGCCATCTGATGTACATTAACAGAGTAAAGGGCAGTCAGGCCGGGCTCACAGAGATGCTCAATAGAAGAGAAATAACATAAATATTCCGCACATCTATACTTAAGTATTTTGAACTATATTATAATTATAAAATTATATTGTACCTAACATAGTAAATAATTAGATATAAAGTATGACAGCAAAGTATAATAATATGATAATTACAATAATTCTTCACATAACATTCGAAGGAAATTGGTGTTCTTTTCAGGAAGAGCCAACCGAAAATTAGTCTTCTCTTCCCCCTCGGAAATGGTGCTTCCTTTATGAAGAAAGAGTTATCAAATTCCCTTAATATAAACGAAAACATTACCCATCCTCTCCCTGCTCCAAAAAAACCCCACAAGGCTCAAAAGAAAGAGCATCATTGGCTAAAGATGAATTTAAAATTTGGGGAAAAGGGAAGTAACTCAGCAAAAGGACGAAATTAATCTAAACAAACAAACAAAAAGAATAGTCAAATCACTCTAGGATTCACTCCGGGAGAACGGGGCCACACAAGCTCAATATAGCAAGGATAGCAAAAACTAATACACAATGGAATAAAGTTGAAACTCGGGGCGAGGTGGGGGTGGGGGAGACCCACAAACGCTACCAGCCAAAAGCCGCCCCCGGGTGCACGAACCCTCCAACGAGGCAGGGCTCGCTGCAATCTCAGTTCTGGGGCCACTGCTCCAAGAGCCCCGCCCGAGGCTGGCGCCCGGGGCTCAGGCGGCGACAGCTCCGATTTTCGGGGCTGCGGGACCGCGGGAGCCCAGAGCTCCCGGGGCAACGCCCCCTCCCCGGGCCGCCTTCACCTGCCGAGGCCGCCGCCGCCGCCGCTCCGACGCCCGCAACGGGGACTCGCGCGGCGGCCTGCCCTCTGCCCTGGCCCCGCCGCGGGAGCTGCACACCCTGGGCCCGCTCTCACCGGCAGCCTGTACCTGCGCCCGCCGCGACGGGGACGCCAAGCGGCGGACCGCACTGGAGACACGCAGGATACCTAGTCCGGGGATATTTTTCGCCGCCGCCGCCAGGCCGCCGGGCGCAACTGCGCCTGCGCACGAGAGAGGGAGCCGGGTGCCTCGGCCGAACCGCAGCACTTTTCCTTTCGAACTCTATTTCCCAGACATCGTCGCAGGACGGCGGCCTACGGTGTCCGAGAAGGGCCAATCGCGGTAAGGCTAGAGAACGCCGTTTTGCCGGGAGCCCAAGAAGGCTGAAGCCTCGTCTTTCTGCCTCTCTCAGCACTTGTCCTGTCGAGCACCCTTTATGGGAAAAGTGGGTATGTATTTAAAAATATGGAAAATTCGCCGCTTGCTGCTGCTCGTTCTTGATTCAGCAATTCCTCGTCTGGGTATATTCCCAATGGAATTGAAAGCGATGACTTAAACTGGTATTTGTACAATGTTAAGAGCAGCATTATTTACAGTAGCCAAAAGATGGAAACAAGCCGGTGTCAGTGGACAGGTGAGTGGATAAACATAATGTGGTGTGTGCGTACAGTGGAAAATCAGTCAGTCGTATAAAGGACAGAAATTCGGACCCATGCTCCAACATGGATGGAGCTTGAAGACATGCCAAGTAAAATAAGGCAGACTTAAATACTGTGTGATTCCACTTATATGAGGTATTTAGAATAGTCAGAGTCATAGACAAAGTAGAAAAACGGTTACCAGGGGTTTGGGGAAGAGGGGAATGAGAATTTATTGTTTAATGGGTATAGAGTTTCAGTTTGGATGATGAAAAAGTTCTGGAAATGGATGACGGTGATGGTTGTACAACAGTGTGAATGAACTTAGTACTCCTGAACTGTACACTTAGAAATGGCTAAAATGGTAAATTTTGTGTTATGTGACTTTTACCGCGATAAAAATAATAGCAATACAAGATAAAGAAGTAACAATTATGAACTGTTATTGGCAAAACAGCATAACATTGAGATTTACAAAGTATAAATAAAGTGACAGACTGAGTAGACATGATTGCCTCCTTTTTTCTCTTAATATTCCTTAAAATGACAAAAACACATACATATTTAATTTTCAAAGGAATGGATTCCCTACAGCTCTAGAAAATACCATCAGAACCCCAGAAATTGAGAGAAAAGCTTGGAAGGCATGCAGCAGTGTGCCCTGAGGTCCAAAATCCATCTAATAGATTCAGAAGAAGAAACCAGAAATGAAGAGGAAGAAAAATTACAAATAGATTACAGATAAAGCTATGGAAACGTTCGAGCTGAAGAAGGCTTGGGTCTTCAGATTAAATAGAATATAAGGTGTTGAACATAATGATGGGGTTGGGCCACGGGAGGCCTACAAAAATATATCCTGGATGAAATTTCAGAAGTCTTAAGGATAAACAGAAAATCCTAGGAGCTACCAGGATGTAAGAATGAAATAAAAGATTACCTATGTGTCCCTTGCTACAAGTAATAGAAGATGGGACTGCTTCAATTGTCTTAAATGATACAGGGAGAACGAGAAATTCTTGGGTCGGACTCTAGCTCCCTCAGAATGAGTAGTTCAGTGAGGTCATCAAAAAACCAAGTTTCTTCCTTCCCTCCTCTCTGCTGCTCAGGAGTTGGGTGCGATGTGGACATGCACATTCCCAAATTCTGTTGGGAAATAGGAAGAGGGGGTTGAATGGATGTTGGTTAATCAAGAATGCCCACTATTCCAGGCAAAGCAAAGAGGCTGATATCAGACTCTCAGCAGCAGCACTGGATTCTAGAAGACAGTGTGGAGCAATATTCTCAGATTTCTAAAGTAAAATGACTTAGGACTTGTAATTCTGTAACCCTTTAATCTAGCATTCAATTGTGAGTGAAGTAAAGGCATTTGGAAGATTAAAGAATTTGCATAGATTGTAATCCCTAAAATATCTCTGATTGAATTAATGAAATATAATCCATTAAAAAAATCAAAGAGGGGTACCTGGGTGGCTCAAGTCAGTTGGACGTCTGACTCTTGATTTCGGCTCAGGTTATGATCTTTGGGTTGTGAGGTCAAGCCCCATGTTAGTCTCTATACTGGGCATGGAGCCTGCTTGGGATTCTCTCTCCTCTCTACCCCTCCTCCATGCTTGCACACTCTCATTCTCTCTCTTCCTTAAAAAAGAAAAAAATCAAAGAAAGTATAACTTGTGTGGATTATAGGAGAATGTAGTAAGTACATTAGTAAAACATCGGGGTTCAAAATGATTCTTGAGCATATTGTGAAGATAATAGGATTGAAAACACAGATGACGGGGAGCCTGGGTGGCTCAGTCATTAAGCATCTGCCTTCGGCTCAGGTCGTGATCCCAGGGTCCTGGGATCGAGCCCCACATCGGGCTCCCTGCTCCACAGGAAGCCTGCTTCTCCCTCTCCCACTCCCTCTGCTTGTGTTCCCTCTCTCGCTGTGTCTCTCTCTGTCAAATAAGTAAATAAAATCTTAAAAAAAAAACAAAACACAGGTGATAACAAAAGGGAATGGCAGAGAGGGTGTGATGACAGGCTAAGGTTCTTGTCTTTTTCAGGGGGCTGACACAGATACCAATTGACTTCAGATGTAAATTTTATGTATATTAAGTATTTAATAGAGACCAGTAGGCAAATGGAAACAGGGTATATGACTTCCTAACCAGCTGCAGAGTAATCTTAAACTATATTCTTTTAAGTCAACATTCTTTTTTAAATATAAATTGTTTGATTTATTTTTGTAATTAGAACTTCACGAAGTTGTCTTTTCAACTTTTCAGTTTGTTTTATTAATGTGAAATTATACTGTAGTACACAAAAGTTGGTCACCTGGGGAACAATAATTGTATATTCAGCTTAACAGAAATAAAAGGATATTTGTCTTAAAATGCAAGATTTTATCTGCTGCAAAATGTTTTGTCATGTGATCACATTATAAAAGTTTTGAAGTGGGCGCCTGGGTGGCTCAGTTGGTTGGGCGACTGCCTTCGGCTCAGGTCATGATCCTGGAGTCCCAGGATCGAGTCCCGCATCGGGCTCCTTGCTCAGCGGGCAGCCTGCTTCGCCCTCTGACCTTCCCCCCTCTCATGCTCTCTCTCTCTATCTCATTCTCTCTCAAAAAAATAAATAAAATCTTTAAAAAAAAAAAAAGTTTTGAAGTAACATTTTTTTAATTCTTAATAAGGTTGTTGTGTGGCTACAGGTCCCAATCAGTGTAGTAGAGAGAGACCTGCAGCCCTGTTCTCCATCACCCAGCTCGGGATATTTCTCCCTTCCCCATCTAGCATGTCCTGAGCCTTGGCATCAGCCCGTTCTGTGTAGGAATGTGGACCCAGGGCCCTGGGCTATGCTAATGGGGAGGAGAGCAGGGCTTGCACCAAGCTGCCTCATTCCCCAGAGTCTGAGTGCCTGCTCACCAGCACTGCCTGCCTTCTAGCCCACTGGGCCATCAGTATTTGGAGTCTTGGACCTGACACATTGGGAGGTAATGCTGGCTCAGCTTTGAGTATCTTGGGGAGTATGAAGACAGCCCCCAAAAGGAGGGCTTTTCTACCAGGACCTAATGCATTAGTGGTCTGGGCCACAGAGAGACACTGGCCAAGGATGGAATCACCACTTTAGCTGTTGGCAGCTCACCTTCCAAACTGTCGAGTACGTTTTTTGCTGTCTGCATCTCTTGGAGTAGTGTTACAGCCTACTTATCCACCAGTATCAACAAGGAGACTTAGAACCAAAATTTAGAAATCTAGCTTACTGTGTTTTATTTTCGATTATGCATATGTGGAAATCTGTACTTCCATGATGTTGCCTTACCAGGTCTCTGCAAAGCAACATATAGGACTTCATCAAAATGAAAAATTTCTACTCATCAAGTGACAGTTTTAGGAGCATGAAAAGACAAGACACAGATGGGGAGAAACATTTGAAAAGCATATATCTGATAGTTTTGTATCCAGAACATCTAAAGAACTTCAAAAAACTCTGTTGTACTACACCAAACAGCCTAATTTTTTAAATGGGCAAAAGATTTGGTCAGATACTTCACTAAAAAGATACAAGAATGGCAATTAAACTCAGAAAATGTTGCACAACATCATTAGTCCTTAGGGAAATGCAAATTCAGCCTATAGGGAGATACCACTACGTACCTACTACAGTAGAGAGGACCACGGCCCCTCAAATACGTCCATATCTTAATCCCCAGGATGTGTGACTGTTACCTTATATGGCAGAAGGGACCATGCCCATGTGATCTAGTTAAGGATTCTGAGATGGGGCAGTTATCCTGGATTATCTAGGTGTGCTTGACATAATCACATTGGTCCTTACAAAAGGCGGGCAGGGAGTCGGAATGGAGGTTATATGATGATGGAAGCAGGGGGATAGAAAGAAAGAATTGAAGATGCCAAACTGCTGCCTTTGAAGATGGAGGAAAGAGGCTGTAAGCCAAGGAATACGGGTACCTACCAAAAGCTGGAAAACGCAAGGAAAGGGATTCTCCCTTAGAGCCCCAGGAGGAAGCAGCCATGCTGTCATGTTGACTTGGGCTCAGTGAAATTGATTTTGGACCTCTGGCCTCCAGAATTGCAAGGGAATAAATGCATGTTTTAAGCCCCTGAATTTGTGGCGGTTTGTCACAGCAGCAATAAGAAACTAACACACCTACTAAAATGATTGAATAATTTTTTAAAGGATAATACAAAATGCTGGTGAAAACGTGAAAAGAGCAGAACTCTCACACTTTGGAAAACATTTTGTCAGTTTCTTATAAAGTTAAACATGCACTTTCCATATGACCCAGCAATCTCACGTCTAGGTATCTACTCAAGGGTAAATGAAAACATATGTCCACACAAAAACCTGTATGAACATCTTTTTTTTTGGAAAAGATTTTATTTATTTATCTGACACAGAGAGAGAGAGTGAGTGAGAGAGAGCAGCAGAGGGAGAGGGAGAAGCAGACTCCCTGCCAAGTAGGGAGCCTGACATGGGGCTCGATCCCAGGACCCTGGAATCATGACCTGAGCTGAAGGCAGATGCTTAACCAACTGACCTACCCAGGCGTCCCTGTAAGAAAAT